GTGTTTGCCCAAAATCTCACGATACATGGCCCCACTTATTCTTTCCTTAATACAGATCGGTCGTCCTGTTCCCTTTGCAGAAAAGCAGCCCCAAAGCATAATATCTCCACCCCCATGCTTCACAGTGTGTATGGTGTTTTTGGGATGTAACTCAACATTATTCCCCCTCCAAACACGGCGAATGGCATTTATACAAAAGAGCTCTATTTTGGTCTCATCTGACCACATGACATTCTCCCAATCCTCCTCTGGATCATCCAGATAGTCTCTGGCAAACTTTAGATGGGACTGGACATGTGCTGGCTTAAGCAGGGGGACCTTTCGAGCACTGCAGGATTTTAATCCTTGACAACACAGTGTGTTACTAATAATAACCTTTGTTACTATGGTCCCAGCTCTCTCCAGGCCATTGACCAGTCCCTCCTGTGTAGCTCATTTATGCAAGGGGACACATTCCCTGCAAAAGCACAAAGGATGTGCATTGCTGCCGTGAGGCACACATAAAACACCAATCAGCCTGAGGTAGGAGAGTAAAAAAAGGAACAAAACTGCACATGTTGCTGCAATAATTGACAGCAAGCAGCATCTGACCAATCAACTGTCAGATGCGCAAACAGGATGCAGATGGAGAAATGGCCTCCTGATGGCAATAAAAACCGAGAGCAAAGAAAAAGTCAAAACAAGAGGAGGCTTGTGCTTCACTTGAAGGTAGGTATGTTGTTGAAATAAATAAGAAAAACTGTGTGGCATAAACACCCCTTGTAGCTTGTACTGGCCAACTCAGGCAACCAAGTCTTCCTTGTCTTCCTCTGCCCACTGTAAGTTGCTGAAAGAGAACGTGATGAAAAGAGGTTCAGGAGATGTCTCTCATCGAGAGGCAGCTGGATGCTTGCAGAATGGATAGATGCAGCCTGGAATGAAACAGGCTTTACTTTGTTGCACTCACCTGCCAGTGAGAGGACCTCTCCAACTTGTTAACACCTTAAAGCAGCTACAAATTAAGGTCAACCTCTCTGGTCCCATCCCACCTGTGGCCAGGTAGTAGGCTGGCTCAGCAGGCTGCTGAGCCTCAACACCTGGGTGTCTAACATCTGTGGCTCTTACAACTCAGGATTCATAGACAATTCAAATGTCTCCTGGGACTCCTGAAAAAAAAAAATTGCCAGATTCTCACTCAAGATGCTGCAGAGACTCTAGTTCATGCTTTTATCACATGCAGAATTGAGTACTGCAATGCTCTTCTTTCTGGTCGTACTAAAAAGAACATCTTTCAGCTTCATCTGCTCTAATAGTCAGCGGTAAAGATGCTGATGAGGACCAGAATGAGATCCCACATTAAACCCAATTTAAAGTCTCTGCAATGTATTCTAGTGTCTTTTACAATTGGTTCTAAAGTTCTCTTATTGGTTTTTAAATCTTTTAATGGTCTTTCATCAACTTGTTTATCAGATTTGCTTTTATCATGTGATCATCTGAGAGCCTAAAAACACTCATGAGGAGGCCGCATTTTATTATGACTGCCCACGTCTGTGGAACAGCCTGAAGACCTGAAGACAGCACAGAAGTTCCGATTTTTTAAAAGCAAATCTAAGACCCACCTTTTTAGATTTTGTTTTATTTTATTTTTTTATTTTTTTATTTAACCTTAATTTGACCAGGAAATATCCCACTGAGATTAAGAACCTCTTTTTCAAGGGAGTCCTGGCCAAGAAGCAGCAAACACAATATACCCCAAAAAATTATTATAGTTATTGAATTTATTCTCATATTATATCTTTAATCCTTTTATATTTGTTTATTCTGTAATCTTGGTGTTCTCTGTTTTAATGGTCTTCTTTTACTTTCCTATCTAACATTTAACATTATGATGTGTGAGTGAGGAGAGTTGGACCCAGAATGCGAGCCAGATGGATGAAAAATGTAACAGGATTTAATGACGACTTGTGCAAAAATGTGAGAAACTCCAAAGTCCATGTAAGGTGGGATTCCAGATGAGAGAGAGTGCTGGGCGGCGGGCTCGTGCGAGGCACAGAGGGAGGCATTAGGAAAAAAGGACAGGAGAGCAGGGTAAAACAGATGAAATCCAAACTCACCAGAATATCTTCAAATTTTCACCTATAGTCATGTGTGTATTCAAGGGGGTCAAGTACCACTTCATAGAGGCGCTAATACTCTGACGCTAAGGCACTGGTCAGCAGTATGCTTAATCTTCCTCCTGTGTTAGCTTTCACAATGCACCCACCATGTTAATGGGTTGGTTTCGACCCTTGTCTTAAATCAGCTGCAAATAACACTAAAAACCATGATCTATCATCTAGTTTGGTTCTTATTTCATTTTTCCTTTTAGGCTTCATTATCCATGAAAATATTGCTCATAATATTTTTTGTTGTGGGCTTCAGTATACCCCTCAAACAGTCATCTATACTGAATTGATCTCACATACCTGGACAAGCCCTTCATTTTTGAGCAGGGAAAACATGGCAAAATAAGAATCCACTAAATCTCAAATGATTGGGAGAGGATCTGGCTGTCAGTGTGTTGCCTGACAGTGCATTTATGATTTCAGTTTTGGTTCTAGTTATTGCTGTATAATCTGACAGGGTCGACAACAACCCTAACGAGACAAGTGCCATAATTTTAACTACAGCATTTTATAATTTACTTAACTAATCTTTATTTTTTTGATTTTGTTAGAAAAAGAGGTCCCTGACAAAGTAAGAATGTCTTGATGCGTTCAACGAATTTATGTGGTTCTTTAATGCATTTGAAACCAAAAATGCGTCAGTGCTGTCCCTAACACAGGGGAAGGTTAAAGACGGCTTGATTGTAGATAGCAGACAGGTGAGCGCACTCAGCCTCAGCACCGCAGGGGATGGGAGCAGCCTCTGAAAGCAGGTGATGAAACAAACAAACGAGGGGCTGACGCCAAACCAAAATTAAAATTTACAAATTTTCCATGTTTACCACAAACATGTAGTTATACCACCAGTGTTTCTTTATTAAGCCCTTGTGATGGTGTTCTTTCAGGTTGCTCACTTCTTTAATTTCTTTGTTTTTATTTTCTTATTTAGTTATTTATATATAAATTGATCATAGTTAAAGTTATGTTAATGATGAGCACAGCAGTTCTTTTAGATGTATTGAATCACTAGGATCAGTTCACTAAAAAAAATTCCTACAAAAGATTTGTTCACTGAATCACTGAATCATTCAGAACTACACTAGACAGGAGGAGCCTGCGACTCTGACTTCCTGAACTGATACACAGCTTAACATTTCAGATTTCAGTTCAGTTTACGGCTTCTGGGACCAGGAGACGAGAGTGTTGTGGCTGTGTTGCCTAGACAAACACATTTGTCGAATTGAACTTGTTTATAAATCATGATGTTTAAGTGTACTGTCCTACAGTATGCTATTTATCTAGTCTAATTGGTAAATAAGAATAAGAACTTTATTTATTATAAGGAAAATTTAATGGGCTTAGTAAGTGATTTGTTTACTGAACATATACCCAACAGTATATTCAGTGTCATTATTGTTGTATGAAAATTGCTTTACAAATAAAGTCTGTTTGATTGATTGATTGATTGATTGATTGATTGATTGATTGATTGATTGATTGAACAGACACTGTAAGTAGTGGAATGAGTAAGATATAAACAGGACAGTGGAAGGTCACTCCCATGACAGCAGGTGTGTCTGAAGATGTCATAAAGGCTAACATAACCCAAGATACAGGCAGGAGAAATCTGAACAAGTGTAGCCTTGCAAAAGACAGAAAGAAACATTAACAAATAAACATAGATCCTCTTGCTCCAGTCCTCTAATCCAGTTCACTTGTGTGCTAGGGGGTCTAAACAAGCACCCACAATATGTTTGGCAAAGAAAACCAGATTTATGTTGAGATTACCTTATTCAATGTGGTTTATCAATCTTTCAGCCCTAAAAACTGAGCTGTTATGGTTTGTCATATGCTCTGACTGCAAATGAAGCAGGATAAAACTCTTTTTGGGTCTCAGATCAGGGCCCAGGAAGGCCATCAGAGGTCCGTTTCACGTGGCAGGTTTAATGGAAACTCAGAGTTTCCCTGATTTCAGGGTTAACAGACTCTGAGTTTTCCGTTTCACAAAGGAGGGTCAGTCAAACCAGAGAGAGAGGGGTAACTCTAACCTGTTTCACAAAGAGAGGTAAGTCAACCTTGCGGTCAGTTACCATAGTAACAGACTCCGTGAACCTAACCAGGGGCCTGTTCTACGAAGCAGGATTACTGCTTAGCGAGGCGAGTCTCCATAGCAATATACGCTGAACGGCTAACCTGCTCCGGGGCAGGTTAAGTTCCAGATTGAACTCAAAGAGTATGAAAACCCCGCCCACTGACCAATGAGCTCTCTCGAAAAACGGCTTGTCCGTTCTCGGAGGATCCTGTAGACCTCGGTGCTCGCATTGTCCGAGGAGGAGCACTCCGGCTCGCGAGAGTTTTCAGGGAGAGTTTTCTCCGGATGACCACCTTTATGAAAGGCTCATATGGCCGACATATTACACAAAACATGTAAACACGATAGGAATGAACAAATGAATGATTCATCTTGGGAATGAATGGGCATGGGCTGCGCGATCACAGACAACATCTCGGTACTATTTAGTAGCAGCGCATGCCCCTTATAATAACCCCGTAAATACTGTTGTTCAGGACTGCTTACTTGTGCTTCCTACCTACTGTAATAACCGTTGTTCGAGCCCACATGCAACATTTTTGTTCTCATTCATGAAACGCTTAAATCGGGGACATTTTCGGGGACAGCTTTAGCCAGGGACAGCTCATCGAATTCGGGGACTGTCACCTCAGTTAAAAGCGCATGTTGAACAGCGCTATTTCAGGGTGATAATGGCATCAAAGATTACTTTTCTGCCAGCATTCCCTCCGTGCTTTTGCGGCGGCGACGGTGTTGCTTTTGAGGTTTGTGATAGCTTTGAATTCTTCATACTTTCTCATGATCGTCTCCTGTTCCTTGTTTGTAAAGTCTGCGGTCCTTCACTCTCCAGCCTGCTCTGACGCTCCAGACTGATCCATGTTCGCGATTGGTCAGATGCGGCGGGCTCCGCCTTATATGTGTGCACGCGCTCATAGCAGAGCTGGATCCACTTATGAGGTTGATAACCAGCGTCGTAAAACCGCTTAGCGAGACCGCTGGCTACCGCGCTAAGTTGAGCGAGGTAGCTCAAAGGCTACCTCGCTAGGTTGAACCTGCTTCGTAGAACAGGCCCCTGGTCGGGACCAGGTTTTCCTCATTAAACCCAGAGTTTCTCTCTGTCTCTGCCCTCTTTCAGTCACACACTCCTTTTAATTTCCTCATTTAGGGGGGAATTTGGACAGCCGGCGAGTTTTGAACAGCTGATTTAAGTCATCCTGGTCATCGGCACAGTAGCTACTCCATTCTACGACCATGGCGTGTCCTTTTCTTGGAGATCCCATTGATGAAGGAGCAGCGATCCTGCGCAGGGAAATTAAATATTAATCGGGAGATCGTTCTTAGACCGCGAACATTTTAGCCCTCCCGGACAATTTTCTTTTTGAGTGGTATCGTTTTTTTATCTCAGTCTATAATTTATATTCATAACCTCATCCGTCCACACATTTCAAACATCACCGGTCGCAGTCATACGCTCACATCACAGCAGATACTATGTGTTGCGCTGTGTTATTTCGCCAACGGGAGTTTTTTGTATGACGCCTGAGATGCCGAGCAGTCAGAGACGCAATCTGCCATAATCACTTTTGAGTTTTAAGCACCCCCACCACCATCACCACCACCTCCCACCCCCAGAAAAAAAAAAAAAAACATGAAGCGCATTTCAGTTGGTTTTCTTTATTTCCTACAAATCCAAAAGCCAGTTAAGTTAATGTTCCAATAGTTCACATCATTGACATAAATGACATGTGACCATGCACCCACCTTTAACTTGTGCTCCAGTATTTCTATTTCTAGATCCGCTTTCTTTATCTGGCGGTCCAGGAATAGCATCTCTTTGTCAGTTTTCTGGATTTTCTTTATGAGATGTATTTTATATATGTCTTTTACTGGTAACTGGGAATACATAAGGAGGACATTTCAGAGGATGAGCTCCTGCCAGGGATTCCCTCAGCCACTGGCTGTCCCCTGTTCTGGCTCAGGGCCAGCTCCTCTGCCTCTGTTAGAGGTGGGGCTGCTGGGCCACCACCCGTTTTTCTGGCATCTGCCCTCTTTCTGTTTGCTGAGTGAAAGTCTGTGTTAGTTTAATATTCCTAATCATTTAACAGAACATCATAAGAGAGTAAAATTCATTTTTGAGTGTGAAAAGAGCATTTTTTAAGGGATCAAACTGCCACTTAATACTTAATGCAGGTAGTTCAACCAGAAAAACTTAAAACTTTACCTTCAAAAATAAGTTTTCTGATTTTGTTTAGCAGTGTCATCTTGGTAAAGTCACTTCTTTTTTCTCCTCTTCCGTTGCTTTTCGCGGGTCGCGTCTTTTTTCGCTTCTTTTCAGCCTACATCGGTAGCTGTTCTTGCCTTTGTGCGCTTCTCACGTGCTTTTATTTTGAAAGAGCAGTGTAAAACCGATACTTCCGGTTTAAGCTAGCGGCTCAGCCACACGATCAATGTGAACGTTGTTTTGGTGCCGCGTGCAAAATGAAGGGAACAACATCTTCGGCCCCGCGGATAATACAAACCCGCTCTGGATCTCGAAAAGATCATGATGACAAGAGGAGCCGTTGTGATATGGAGGATAACTCCTCTGGTAAGTTTAACTGCAGCTAACGAGTTAGTGCACATTCAAAACAGAGTTTTAATGTAACTAGCTTTGGCTAGCTAGCTATGTAGCTAGCTGCGTGTTTGGATGTGCACTAACCAGTTAGCTGCAGTTAAACTTACCAGAGGAGTCATCCTCCATATAATAGAAGATTTATGAGACTTAATAAGGCATTGTTTTCGCTTTAGATCTGGTAGCTGCAAAAAGCATAGTTAACTGATAACAAGGGCATAGTAAAGTACATTTTATTTTGATAAAGCAGAAAAAAAATATTCTTAAAGGCATAATAATGCTCAATAAAAGATTTATCAGCCTTAATAAGGCATTGTTCTCACTTTAGATCCAGTACCTGCAAAAAGCACAGTTAACTGTAAACAAGTGCATAGTTAACTTACAGTAGATGAGCAATAAAGTGTATATTAATGTTAATAAATCAGACAAAAAGATTAATACAGGCATGATAAAGCCATCATGGTTGGGCTAGTTGAGTCAAGATATGTGTTTATAATGTTATTATAAACAGTTATAATATACTCATGAGGATTTTATTAATGTTCGTAAGCATCAACAAACAGTTAACAAGTTTCTTATGAGTTATTATAAATCTCTTAAAGTCTGCTAATAACTGTATTATAATGAGACTATTAATAGATATATAGTCTTATAAACGAATAATAATGTTAATAAGCATCTTGTACGCACTTATAAGGGCCTTATTACCATTAACTAATGCTTATTACAAGGACCTTAATATAAAGTGTTACCCAATGTTTTTATATTTAATTTTCAGCTGCTGCCAAGTGCCCTTTTGTCCCCGCTGGATTGCACCTACATAAAATAAATTAATTGGCTCCATGCAAGCAGTTTCCCCTGCAACAGTCTGTCATTGTGATTGTACAAGACTAGATTTTAACGTACGCATTGATGCGAGCAGCAATTTCCTCCCATGCCCTCTCCCTCTCCTTTGCAGCTGCTGCTGTATTGCACTTTCTTTTAAAACATGCTGTAATTTACCGTAGGCTTGCATCAGTACTTCCAGCTCCACTGGAGTAAAAAATGCTGCCCTCCTTCTCCCTGTTTCCATGGTTGATCAATGAATCTGGGCTCCACAGATGCTGGCTGTTTATGTCTGGCGTGCATGTGCTTAACTCCAGGTGAAACTACTCGGAGTTGCTAAAACTGACTCAAATTAGGTGTTGTGAAACCGGAAACTCAGAGTTTCCTTTTTTTTTTTTTTTTTTTGTGCAGTGTGACAATACAAGACATACAAAACAAACAATGGCATTTGTGGTTTTGTGTGTGTGTGTGTGTGTGTTTGGTGTATGTAAATAATAATGAAAAAGAAAATAAAAAAAATAAAAAATAAATAAATATTACAATTGTCAGACAAGCAAAAAAAAAAAAAAAGAAAATTATACTACATCAACAATATCAATAATAATAATAATAATAACAACAATAATAGTAATAATAATAACTAGGGCCCCGTTGGGGCACTGGCGGGCCCGAGCCGTGTCGCGCCGCCCCCAGCGCGACCGCCTACCCCTCCCGATCGCGTCACACTCAAGGTCCAAAGATGGTGTGCACACTTGTCTGTGGTCATTTCCCATGATAATGAATGGGAGGCGCAGTTTCTACCAAAACGCTCGCTGCAGACAAACTCCATGTCCTTTTTGAAAAAAGTCTGGACCATGAGTGAGGGCACAAACACAGCTAGTATATATCCAAATGGCAATTTGCTCCTCCTTTCGGTTTTGCCGAGAGAGCGATGCGTTTGAGCCATTGAGCGATGGGCAGGAAAAACTTGACTTTTTCTCCTGCCATGGGGGGGGCGCTCTTTTGGGGAGAAAAAATTCCTTCACAAATGTGTTGATGGCTGGACATTGCATCATCCTAGAAAACTTGGAGGCCAGTGAGGACAAAAATAAAAAGTTATAAGACTTTTAAAAATGTGGATATTTGGGTCCTCTTTGGCGCCCCCTAGAACGTAAACCGTGGGGTGCAGCGTCATGATTTGTACAACTTTGAATGGCCATGGGGTGTAGATTGACCTGAGCAAATTTGAAGCCGATGGGACAAAAGCTTCAGGAGGAGTTAGCCACATTCCAATGTGTGCGAATCGGCAAAAAATGCGAAATAGCCCTTTAACTGTACATTGAACAGATACACTCGCATTGACTTTTTCGTAGATCTTATTGAGATACATGTGTGTGTCAAATTTTGTGTCATTTTGACAAAGCGTAAAGGCGTGACAGTCAACAATGTGTATTTTCGCCTTAGGAGACAAGAAAAAATGGACTTTTTTCTCCTGCCATGGGGGGGGCGCTCTTTTGGCGAGTAAAAATTCCTTCACAAATGTGTTGATGGCTGGACATTGCATCATCCTAGAAAACTTGGAGGCCAGTGAGGACAAAACTAAAAAGTTATAAGACTTTTAAGACTGTGGATTTTTGGGTTATATTTGGCGCCCCCTAGAACGTAAACCGTGGGGTGCAGCGTCATGATTTGTACAACTTTGAATGGCCATGGGGTGTAGATTGGCCTGAGCAAATGTGGTGCCGGTGGAACGAAAGCCTTCGGAGGAGTTAGCGAAATTCCAATGTGTGCGGATTGGCAAAAAATGCGAAATAACCCTTTAACCGTACATTTGACAGATACGCCCGCACTGACTTTTTTGTAGATCTTATTGAGATACATGTGTGTGTCAATTTTTGTGTCAATATGACAAAGCGTAAAGGTGTGACAGTCAATAGTGTGAATTTTCACCTTAGGGGGCGCTATGGAGCCATTTTGCATTTTATTGTTTGGGCGACTTCAGAATATCGAATTTTTCACCAGGCCCGGTCGTCCTGCCAAATTTCCTGAGTTTTCGCCAGTGGGAAGTGGGCCATTTTCCAGTTTAAAGCGGAGGAAAAATAATAATAACTAGGGCCCCGTTGGGGCACTGGCGGGCCCGAGCCGTGTCGCGCCGCCCCCAGCGCGACCGCCTACCCCTCCCGATCGCATCACACTCAAGGTCCAAAGATGGTGTGCGCACTTGTCTGTGGTCATTTACCATTATAATGAATGGGAGGCGCAGTTTCTACCAAAACGCTCGCTGCAGACAAACTCCATGTCCTTTTTGAAAAAAGTCTGGACCATGAGTGAGGGCACAAACACAGCTAGTATATATCCAAATGGCAAGGTGCTCCTCCTTTCGGTTTTGCCGAGAGAGCGATGTGTTTGAGCCATTGAGCGATGGGCAGGAAAAACTTGACTTTTTCTCCTGCCATGGCAGGGCGCTCTTTTGGGGAGAAAAAATTCCTTCACAAATGTGTTGATGACTGAACATTGCATCATCCTAGAAAACTTGGAGGCCAGTGAGGACAAAAATAAAGTTATAAGACTTTTAAAAATGTGGATATTTGGGTCCTCTTTGGCGCCTCCTAGAACGTAAACCGTGGGGTGCAGCGTCATGATTTTTACAACTTTGAATGGCCATGGGGTGTAGATTGGCCTGAGCAAATTTGGTGTCAGTGGAACGAAAGCCTTAGGAGGAGTTAGCCACATTCCAATGTGTGCGAATCGGCAAAAAATGCGAAATAGCCCTTTAACCGTACATTTTACAGATACGTGCACATTGACTTTTTCGTAGATCTTATTGAGATACACGTGATTGTCAAATTTTGTGTCAATATGACAAAGCGTACAGGCGTGACACTCAACAATGTGGATTTTCGCCTTAGGGGACAAGAATTAAATGGACTTTTTTCTCCTGCCATGGGGGGGCGCTCTTTTGGCGAGTAAAAATTCCTTCACAAATGTGTTAATTGCTGGACATTGCATCATCCTAGAGAACTTGGAGGCCAGTGAGGACAAAAATAAAAAGTTATAAGACTTTTAAGAATGTGGATTTTTGGGTTATCTTTGGCGCCCCCTAGAACCTAAACCGTGGGGTGCAGCGTCATGATTTGTACAACTTTTAATGGCCATGGGGTGTAGATTGGCCTGAGCAAATTTGGTGCCGGTGGAACGAAAGCCTTCGGAGGAGTTAGCGAAATTCCAATGTGTGCGGATCGGCAAAAAATGCGAAATAACCCTTTAACCGTACATTTGACAGATACGCCCACACTGACTTTTTTGTAGATCGTATTGAGATACATGTGTGTGTCAATTTTTGTGTCAATATGACAAAGCGTACAGGCGTGGCAGTCAATAGTGTGAATTTCCACCTTAGGGGGCGCTATGGAGCCATTTTGCATTTTATTGTTTGGGCGACTTCAGAATATCGAATTTTTCACCAGGCCCGGTCATCCTGCCAAATGTCATGAGTTTTCGCCAGTGGGAAGTGGGCCATTTTCCCCTTCAAAGGGGAGGAAAAATAAGAAGAAAGAAAGAAAGAAAGAAAGAACTAGGGCCCCGTTGGGGCACTGGCGGGCCCGAGCCGTGTTGCGCCGCCCCCAGTGCGACCGCCTACCCCTCCCGATCGCGTCACACTCAAGGTCCAAAGATGGTGTGCGCACTTGTCTGTGGTCATTTACCATTATAATGAATGGGAGGCGCAGTTTCTACCAAAATGCTCGCTGCAGACAAACTCCATGTCCTTTTTGAAAAAAGTCTGGACCATGAGTGAGGGCATAAACACAACTAGTATATATCCAAATGGCAAGTTGCTCCTCCTTTCGGTTTTGCCGAGAGAGCGATGCGTTTGAGCCATTGAGCGATGGGCAGGAAAAACTTGACTTTTTCTCCTGCCATGGGGGGCGCTCTTTTGGGGAGAAAAAATTCCTTCACAAATGTGTTGATGGCTGGACATTGCATCATCCTAGAAAACTTGGAGGCCAGTGAGGACAAAAATAAAAAGTTATAAGACTTTTAAATATGTGGATATTTGGGTCCTCTTTGGCGCCCCCTAGAACGTAAACTGTGGGGTGCAGCGTCATGATTTGTACAACTTTGAATGGCCATGGGGTGTAGATTGACCTGAGCAAATTTGAAGCCGATGGGACAAAAGATTTAGGAGGAGTTAGCCACATTCCAATGTGTGCGAATCGGCAAAAAATGCGAAATAGCCCTTTAACCGTACATTGAACAGATACGCTCGCATTGACTTTTTCGTAGATCTTATTGAGATACATGTGTGTGTAAAATTTTGTGTCATTTTGACAAAGCGTAAAGGCGTGACAGTCAACAATGTGTATTTTCGCCTTAGGAGACAAGAAAAAATGGACTTTTTTCTCCTGCCATGGAGGGGGCGCTCTTTTGGCGAGTAAAAATTCCTTCACAAATGTGTTGATGGCTGGACATTGCATCATCCTAGAGAACTTGGAGGCCAGTGAGGACAAAAATAAAAAGTTATAAGACTTTTAAGACTGTGGATTTTTGGGTTATCTTTGGCGCCCCCTAGAACGTAAACCGTGGGGTGCAGCGTCATGATTTGTACAACTTTTAATGGCCATGGGGTGTAGATTGGCCTGAGCAAATGTGGTGCCTTTGGAACGAAAGCCTTCGGAGGAGTTAGCGAAATTCCAATGTGTGCGGATCGGCAAAAAATGCGAAATAGCCCTTTAACCGTACATTTGACAGATACGCCCGCACTGACTTTTTTGTAGATCTTATTGAGATACATGTGTGTGTCAATTTTTGTGTCAATATGACAAAGCGTAAAGGCGTGACAGTCAATAGTGTGAATTTTCGCCTTAGGAGACAAGAAAAAATGGACTTTTTTCTCCTGCCATGGGGGGGCGCTCTTTTGGCGAGTAAAAATTCCTTCACAAATGTGTTGATGGCTGGACATTGCATCATCCCAAAAAACTTGGAGGCCAGTGAGGACAAAAATAAAAAGTTATAAGACTTTTAAGACTGTGGATTTTTGGGTTATCTTTGGCGCCCCCTAGAACGTAAACCGTGGGGTGCAGCGTCATGATTTGTACAACTTTTAATGGCCATGGGGTGTAGATTGGCCTGAGCAAATGTGGTGCCGGTGGAACGAAAGCCTTCGGAGGAGTTAGCGAAATTCCAATGTGTGCGGATCGGCAAAAAATGCGAAATAACCCTTTAACCGTACATTTGACAGATACGCCCGCACTGACTTTTTTGTAGATCTTATTGAGATACATGTGTGTGTCAATTTTTGTGTCAATATGACAAAGCGTAAAGGCGTGACAGTCAATAGTGTGAATTTTCACCTTAGGGGGCGCTATGGAGCCATTTTGCATTTTATTGTTTGGGCGACTTCAGAATATCGAATTTTTCACCAGGCCCATTCGTCCTGCCAAATTTCATAAGTTTTCGCCAGTGGGAAGTGGGCCATTTTCCCCTTCAAAGGGGAGGAAAAATAAGAAGAAAGAAAGAAAGAAAGAAAGAAAGAAAGAAGAAAGAAAAACCTATACAGGAATAATAGGGCTCTACGCCCGGCTGCTCTGCAGCTGGCTCGGGCCCTAAAGAAAGAAAGAAGAAAGAAAAACTCATCAGGAATAATAGGGCTCTACGCCCGGCTGCTCTGCAGCTGGCTCGGGCCCTAATAACAAAAGAAGAATCTATCAGGAACAAGAGGGCTCTCGCAGCTGCTTAGCAGCTACGCTCGGGCCCTAATAAGAAGAAGAAGAAGGAATTTGTGGACCACCTCGGGTCCCTTCCCACTCGCACGAGACCCACCTGCATCCCTCCAGGCCCCCAGACTCCCACCCCAACCCCCGCATGCCCCGGACTGAATGCGGCACAACACCTTACCCTATGTCTATATATGTATTTAGTCTTTGTTATTTACTTAATATACTTTATAATTATTTATTTATTTTTATTTAATTTTATTTTAAATTATTATTATTATTATTATTGTTATTATTTTATTTATTTTATTTTATTTTTTTTCTTAATTTCTCTCATATATGTGCTTTCTAATGTTGTGCATTAAAACCGAGGAGAGGGGTTGTCCTGAACTATAATTTGATGAGATTGAGACCCTGTTCCTCTTCCTAATCTAGTGTGATGTGCAATAAAAGAGGTGATGTGCCATCTGAAGACAGTCCAGGGCGGAGAACTGGGGGAGGGGGGAGGCCGGGAGGGCAAGGAGATCACAGGTCATTGTCTAACAGGCGCGACCCAGCAGGGACCCGAGCAGAAAATAACAACTGTAAATGTAAGTATATAAATAAATAAATAATAATAATAGAAAATGACAATGACAATAATATTCATCATAATATTTGTAGTAATATGTAGTAAGAAATAGAAAATAAAAATCAATAAACAATAATAATAAAAAAATAATAATGATAATGATAAAGATAATGATAAAGATAATAATAATAATAATAATAATAATAATAATAATAATAATAATAATAATGATAATAATAATAGTAATAATAGTAATAATAATAATAATAATAATAATAATAATAATAATAATAATAAATAGATAAGTAAATAAAATAAAAATAAAAAGTTGGGAATGAAAGTGTCAGAGAACAGAGATGGATGATGTTGTGACTGGTTTGTGGCAGATTATGAGCTTAGAAAAGTGATGAATGATAACCAGGTAGAGTTATGATTATTGTCAGAGGAGTTTGTATTTTCTAAGGAGATGTAGTCTATGAGCAGGTTTTTCCAGTGTATTATGTGTATGGAGTTCCGAGACTTCCAGTTCATGAGGATAGTTTTCCTGGCGACGGTTAGTGCCACTAGAAGTGAACGTGTGTGTGTTTTGTCAAGTTTTAATGGAGATAGGTCTCCTAATAAACAGACGGAAGGGGAAAGTGGGATGTGGCAGCCCATAATCTGGGATAATGTTTCTGTAATGTTTCTCCAGAAGTGGTGAACAGGTGTGCAGTGCCAGGTTGCATGAATATAGGTATCAGTGCAGTTTAGTGAGCAGTGTGAACAGTTTCCAGATGATGAGAAGCCCATTTTTTGCATTTTGTGTCCAGTCAGATGAGTTCTGTGAAGGATTTTGTATTGTATGAGTTGTAAATTAGCATTTTTCGTCATGGAGAAAATGTTCTTGCAGATTTGGGGCCAGAAGTCAGCATCAGGAGCAATGGAGAGATCAGTTTCCCATTTTTCTGAAGGTATGGAGGGTGTTGAGTCGGCCTGTGATAATAATTTGTATAATTTAGATAGGAGTTTCTTTGAGGAAGGGATGTTAATGAGTTTAGAGGGTAACGGGGGGAGGTCTAAGTTTATATTCTTGTTTTTCATTGATGATTGGATGGATGATGAAACCTGTAGATATTGTAGGAATTGATGGCTCCTGATGCCAAACTTCTGGACCAGGAGAGAGAATGGGACCAGGGTGTTATTATTGAAGATATGTTTGAGGTGAGTAATCCCTTTCTCTACCCAGGTGCTGAAGTATAGTGATTGTTTATTGCTGATGAAGTCCAGGTTGTGCCAGATCGGGGTGAAAAGCGATGGTGCCAGAGTTGAGTTAGTAATGCTGTAGAATTTCCACCAGGCTTTCAGGGCCGATGATATTGTGGGGTTTTGGAAACAGGGGTGTTTTTTGATAGTTTGACTGAGGAATGGTAGGTCTGAGAGATGGATGTCTTTGCTAACTGTTTGTTCTATGTCTAACCACGTGCTATCTGACTGGGTGGGGTGGGTCCATTTGTAGATGTATTGAAGTTGATTTGCTAGTGAGTAATGATGAAAATTTGGAGCATTGAGTCCGCCTAAACTTTTTGATTTCTGAAGAGTGGCCAGTTTGACTCGTGGGGGTTTATTTTTCCAATAAAATTTGTTGATGGATGAATCGAGGGAATGAAACCAGGTGAGAGGTGGATGAGTGGGAATCATTGAACAAAGGTAACTGATTTTGGGGAGGATTGTCATTTTAACTGTTGCTATTCTGCCTAATATAGATAATGGGAGGTTCATCCATCGTTGGAGATCACCATTGATTTTTTTTAGGAGTGGAGTGAAATTCAGGTTGATCAACTCTGACAGCCTGGGGGAAATGTGGATGCCTAAGTAGGTGATGTGACTTGTGCAGAAGGGGATGGGTGTTGTAAGGGCTGCCACAGCCAGACTGTTGGTGTTTAATGGGAGTATGGAGGATTTGTTCCAGTTTATTGAGTAGTCAGAGAGAAGGGAGAAGGATTTGATGACACTGATTACTTCTTGTAGTGATGATTTTGGGTTATCCATAAAAAGTAAAATGTCATCCGCATAGAGGCTGATTTTATGGTGCATGTTGGGGGTTTGGATTCCTGTAATGAGGGGGTTCTGACGGATGGCTGCTGCTAGGGGTTCAATGAAAATGGTGAACAAAGAGGGAGAGAGTGGGCAACCTTGCCTGGTCCCCCTGTGAAGAGTGAAGCTTTGTGAGGTTTGTCCGTTAGTAATAACTGTGGCTGTAGGTGAGGTGTAAAGTGTTTTAATCCAGTTAATAAATGATTCCCCAAAGCCGAAACTGTGTAGGGTGTGGATGAGGAATGACCACTTAACTCTGTCAAAGGCTTTTTCTGCATCTAAGGTGGCTATGATTGAGTTATGGTTATGTGTGGTTGAGTGGTGCATTATATTGAATAGTCTGCGTGTGTTATTGGATGAGTTTCTTCCTTTAATAAATCCTGTTTGATCCGGGTGAATAATGGATGGAATAATTTTTTCTAATCGGTGGGAAAGTGCCTTGGTGATAATTTTAATGTCAATGTTGAGAAGTGAAATGGGGCGGTAACTTGAAGGCAGGGTGGGGTCTTTGTTTGGTTTAAGAAGCAGTGAGATAGATGCTGTATTCATGTTGGGTGGAAGTCTGGAGGTTTGTTGTGTTTCTGTTATCATTCTGTGAAAAAGTGGAGCTAAGCTGGACCAGAAGTGTTTGTAGAACTCAGCAGGGAAGCCATCAGGACCGGGTGCTTTATTGTTAGGCATTCTGTTGAGGGCAGATTGGATTTCTTCAGTTGTTAGGGGTGTGTCTAATGTGTTTTTTTGTTCAGGGGAGAGTTGGGGTAAATTGAGGTTGGTGAGAAA